ACTGTGTTTCTTGCCGCAGTGAGAGCAAGGACCTTGACCATGATGCACCTTTACCTAGGAAGTCTTGGGAGCAGACTGTCCCATTCCGGACCGGCGGAGAGATTCCTCGGAGAGAATTTTGCTCACGAGGGTCTCGACCTTCAACTCCTTGAGAATGGTAGTCGCCATGATGGCTGACACCATTGTCGAGTAGCTTTCCGGTATTTTTGACATCAGGAGGAGAGCCTGAGTTGGCTCATCCAACGTAATGCCACCGTTGACGATGTCCTTGAGTACGGTTTGGATCTTTGAGATTTGATCCTGCATCGGCTTGTTGTTGTCCATCTCTCTCGACTTGATGAGAGCCGAAAACTGCGACCAAACGAATGCTGCATCTGGTGTACCAAAATGCGACTTGAGTGCCACCCACATGTCCTTTGCCGATTTCATGACCTCATTACCATCCTCATCCTTCTCATAGAGAAGATGGTGGAAGCTGTTGTCCGTGCGCATGAGGATCACACCCTTAGCACGGGTGTTCGCCTTCTTGTAATCCGCGTCCTTGAGGTCACCGGTTTTGAGGGCATCATCGGCCTCGATAAACGTTAAGTAGCCGAGCATCTGGCTTGACCACACCTTGTAGTCCGAGGACTTTTTGAGGACAGAGATACTGTCAGCCTTCATGTCTGACATGGTGGCGGTAAGAATATGAAATTTGAAGAAGTCTGAGACTTCTTCAGAAACGGAGGGCGGTGGTAAACTTTCAAGAACAAAAGCGAGGTCAGACGATAGACTTTCCTCTGCTTCTTCTTGAGACGGTGCTAGAAGTTCCTCTATGTCGTCTTCTTCGAAGAGATTCGATAGATCTGACGGTAATGTAGTAGGAGCAAATGATGGAGATAGATGTACTGGAGAAACAATGGGAGAAGGGGATTGTGCTCTAGAGCCGGGGATAGAAGGAGACCCGTACTCTGGGATTGATGCAAGATGTTGCGGTTCAGGTTCAGAACCCTCAAAGAAGCTTAGAGAAGCAAATACAGAATAAGAATCGTCTTCTTGCCAGTGGTTGACTGGGATACCAAAGTTGTTACTTCTGATGTATGTTCCCGACCACCTATTCGCACAGATTCTTGTATCACATGGCCAGAAGTTGTAGTCGGTTTCTTCAGGCCGATAATGATAGTCTCTTAGTTCTGTGACATCGAATAGATGTTGAAGACCTCTACAGTTGTAGGGTGTTTCTTCTTCTGACGCTTCTGCTTCTAAATTGTCGTCTAGCTGATGCTCAGACAAAGCCACAATGTGATGCTTGACTAGTGTATATGAATACAAAAACGCTAGGTATGCCGACCTATGTACTACAAAACGATCCAGTCCAAGTAGCCCCCGTTGGCTATGCTCGTTAGGTCCTTTGTGACCTTTCTGTACCACTTGACGAGCGGCTCCTGCGGCGTCGAGAATTCGACTGTGCCGATGCAACGGCAAGCCCACGAGATGCTGTCTTGCTGCTGCTTAGACCACTGATTGGCCTTGTCGAAGTTGTCGCTGACCCAGTTGAGCTGGTCGGCGAAGCGGTGGAGAGAGCGCTGAGAGTCTCCAAGAAGCGACTCGAAGAGGTACTTCTTGTCGAAGATTGCTTGGTAGCGCTCTATGGTGGCGCTAACCTTCTTCTCGAGAATCCCAACGACTTCTTCAGTTGACTTCTTCTTGAAGTCGGGGAGCAGGCGCTGAAAGTCGTTCAGCAAGTGGGCGCGGCTGGGTGGCGGGGTTGGAGCAGACGGGAGCGGGGAGCGGGTGCGACTGGAATCACAAAAACGTTAGATACGAGATCGAACTTGATGTGGTAGAGTCGGCATCAACGGACCTTTCTCTCAGGTCTCGTTGGAGGATAAACTTTGTGCAAACAGCGCGAAGGCCCACTGGAAATCCGATCCTTCAGTGCTTTCGGCACTTCAGGTCATCAAATGCTGAGTCTACTGAGAGACTAGCAAAACTGCTACGCTTACTCCTAGGAGCGTAGTCTTCAAGATCCTGCAGGGATAAAACAACTAGGTATGCACGTGTAGCGCAGGGCTCATAACCTGTTGAAGGAGTGAAATTGAAGTGGCTATGAAGGCAGGAGAACGAACCTCTGAGGGAACTGCTGAGGGAGTCCTGTTAGGCACACAGGAAAGCAGAGGAAGGAACGATACATTAGAGGGCGTATCCAGCCCAGTATATATACATGTGTGAGACCATCACCTGATGGTCGAGTCATGATGAGTCATAAGCGTAATCTATGTGAGTCATCGTTAGTAAGACGGAAGTCCAGAACTCCAGGTAACCGGCAATATCATATGCTAAGGAGCGGAGGCCTGGATGTCCGGTATCTAATCTACTGAGATAGGACAAGAGATAATCGAGTCTTATAGATAAGATAAAGAGCGAAAGAGAGTAAGCGTACAGTACAGTACGTAGTGTTGCAGAACATAATACAAGTTCATATCAGGCAAGCCTGATAAGATAACGCCTGAAATGGTAGAAGTTCAACACCCTCGTCACTCCCAGATGATGTGCCATCATCTCCCATCTCATTTCCATCAGAGGATAGCTCAGACAATGACTATACACCATCCTGTACCCCAGCGCAATCACCATTCAACACCCCAACCTGCAACACAATGTGTTCACCAAATCACTCTGCAAGACATTTGCCATTCCGAAGCCATTCCGAAGCCCGACACGCTCACCATTCCGCAGCCCGGTGCACTCATACTGCTCCCTGTCCGGCTCACCATCGTGCTCTGAATCTCCCACTCTAAGCCCAAAGTGATGCTGTACATGGTCAGTGTCTGCCACACAATCAATGCAGAGTGTTCTCTCCAAGGCCCGGCAAGTTGTGCCAGTCACCCAAGATGATGAGATGACACACAAGGAGGCCATGGCTGCACTCCGTCACCTTCGTGAACAGAACAGAAACCTGCAAGAGATCATCAGTATGAAAGGTGCAGAGCTGAGAGCACTGCAGGCTCACTGCACCTTGATGAAGCACGAGCTTGCTGACGTTCGCGAGCAGTTGGCGAACTCAAAGAAGCACAAGTCAAGAGGGAAATCCAAGCCTGCAGCACGGTTCGTCACACTGCCCGAAATGAAGGAACAGCATGAGCAGGAGAAGGCTGAACGTCGTACGAAGGAAATTGCAGAGGAGCAGAAGAAGGCGGAGAAGCAGACACAGGGAGCTCAGCGTGCAGAGTTCATTGCTCGGGAGACGAAGATGCGCATCTTTGGCACACTGTCATCCTACAAGCATAAGGATGACTTGATCATCCTTGCAGGCGCTCTTGGGCTGTCAATCGAAGGCACCATTCCTGTTCTTACCGCAAGGATCAGGGAACACCTTCAAGACCCTGGCCCACCTGCAACCGAGATGATACTCAATGTACCCGGCAGCCACTTTGTCGGGCTCTTCCCGGGAAGCTCAAGTCGTCACACACAAGGCGCTGCGCGGGGTTGCGGGCATACAGTGAACCAGGATGATGTTGCGTCCTCGTCAATGTCAACATTGAGTGCATCGACACGTCAAGCTGGACCAGCCATTGCCCCGGAGGCACAGGCTTCTAACACTGTGATGCCACTACCTGTTTCGCTGCATCCAACACGTCTGATGTCGCCTGCATCACAGCCTCAATACCCGGATTTGCATTCGAGCGAGTAGTACTGGACTGCGCACATTCACCCCTAACTTCGCCACTAATTCATACTGTACAGTACATACAACTTGTTACTCTTCATTTGTATAATCTTAGTCTCTTTGCCCCTGAGCCCTGAGCCCGACATGCATCTGCGTGCGCGAACACCAACGGTGGCTCGGAAGGACTGCAGTGCGGACCTTGAAAGATGCCGTGGGAACTGTGTGATGCCACCGTGACCACCGACTTGTAGGGCCTGCCGACTGACCAGTCCGAAATAGTAATTTAATCTACTGTATCAGGACGAGAGATAACAAGTCCTGCAGATAAGATATGAGCGAAAAAGGAATGTAAGCTACAGTAAGGTATGTAGCATTGCAGAACACGTAACAAGTCCATATCAGGCAAGCCTGATAAGATAACACCTGAAATGGTAGAAGTTCAACAGCTGACACCAAGGCTTTTGCTCACAAGTAGGTCTTCAACTCAATTGGTTTATGACTGACATATTGGGTCAGTAGGACATGCATGGAGCACATTGGAGTGTTAGCACGAGGCATCATGTAATACCGTCCATATGGGGTCAATCCCAGTGGACCTTTCTCAATTTCTTTATGAGCATGTCAACCTAGCTCTGTGACAGAAGTAGATGTGGGATGATGGAGAGTGCAAATTGTTGCAAATTGGTGCCATATGCTTGTTGAACTTCTACCATTTCAGGTGTTATCTTATCAGGCTTGCCTGATATGGACTTATCTAGTGTTCTACAATGCTACTTACCTTACTGTAGCTTACATTCCTTTTCACTCTTATCTTATCTGTAGGACTTGTTATCTCTCGTCCTAACTCAGTAGATTAGATACCGGACCTCCGGGCCTCTGCTCCTTAGCATATGATATTACCAGTTACCTGGAGTTCCAGATTCCGTCTTACTAACAATGACTCACATAGCTTATGCTTATGACTCATGATGACTCAACCATCAGGTGATGGCCTTGCACATATACTGGGCTGGAGACACCCTCTAATGTATTGTTCCTTCCTCTGCTCTCCCATGTGTCTAACGGGTTCCCTCCAGCAGTTTCCCTCACAGGTTTGTATCATAGCCTTATAGCCACTACTTCTCACTCCTTCAACAATGCTGTGTTTAATTGTCAGAGCCAGCTGCCTCAGAGAGCAGGCTGATAGAGCAATGCTGTGAACTCAACCCTCCAGTCAAAGCCATACATTGTTAAGCATTCAACATTGTGCTTGTAACACAGAATATCTGCAATGAGTGTGTATCCATGGAGAAGCACACCTGGCTTTGGCAATCACTTTCCTGGAGTACACAACGGCACACAAGAATGCATGGCCTTCTTAGCCCAGTGGTAGAGCGCGTCACTAGTACAAACTTGAAATATATATATACAGTCATGACGAGGTCGTTCGTTCGAATCGGGCAGGAGGCAGAATCATTATTTGCGTTTGTTTTTATCAGCCCAGATCATTGATCATATTCGAGCCGAACGCTCTTTTATTACTTGATTACACTATACGTCCGGCAATCCATGCGTACTACCGACTACTCTTCGAGACGACCTCAGTGGCCAGTCGTAGTCACACCAAACATATCTTTCACATTGACAGCGAGCAACATCACACTAGATATCCACTCGGGCGCGATGTGAAAAGTGTAGAACAGCGCCTTCGCTGTCGGACCATTCAGAGACCCAGGGCCCATGTCGGTGAGCAAGTGGGTGTAGCTTCGCATTGCCGCTAATCGATAGAGAGTAGGGATGACCTATGAAATGAAACAATGAGCTTGAGATTTCACTATGAACGCAACCAGGCAACGTACAACGACAGAGATCATGGCAAGGAGGTAGAGCGCTGGCTTGCGAGGTGTGCACCGTGGATGTGTCTGGAGAGCCCAAATAACTAGTCCCAGAGAAAAGAATTGGGAGCTAAGCACAATCAATGCTGAGCCGTATCTATATCAAAATGCAAGTCAACCTGAACGTCCACCGCGCAATGTGCTTGAAACTTACCTCATCACTTGCACGAGGAGAGCTATCGTAGAGTTCGTTGTGCCGTTGAAATACAAGGAACCGGATGCGATGGCGGGGGTGAGGGCTGCCAGACGGAGCACCAGCGTCATAATTGCGATGCGCTTGAACACAACGTGGAGGCGCGCTTCATTTCCGAAGGGCTCGCGCTCGGTCAAGGGCAGCTTGTTGTATGACGAACTGGCGTCGCCGCGTGCGTCGCCTACCATATTGAGTGGCTGCTCCTCTTCCCAGAAGCCATTTATTGGCGGCGGTAGGATAGCGGATGGCGCGGCGACAGGGCTACTAAACAGGGCATTGGCGACGAACAGCCTGGCGAGATTACCGAGATCCATGGCCATGCTCAGATAACCCATGCCGTAGGCACTCTGAAGCCACCCGACGAAGAAGGATGTTGTGCGGAGGTTGGGCTTCTCCGCCTCGGCGGCTCGTATGGCGAAGTCAGCGATACTGGTAGCAAGTATGCGTCAAAATTATGCTTGCGTGTGGCGTGGAAAATAATCTCACCGTTCTACGGTGAATATTGTGGCACCGAGGATGACCAGGCTCCGCGATGACTTGGCAATCATCCGCCAGAGGGCGAGTGGCACAACGAGAGCATAGAGTATCGTAAAAATCAAGGCAGGGGCGAAGTCATGAGGAAAAGGAATGCCTCCGATGGGCGAGGGGAATTCAGAAGACATGGCACAGAAAAAAAGTAGTCGTGGGGTGCAAAGTTGGAGATAGCTGACAACGACGATGATTGTCGTGCCTTTATACGACAGACGGCCAATGTCGAGCGAGTGGGATGAAAGGAGACAAGCAGTAGCGACGCAGTGATGACCGAAGTATGCCCGGATGCTCACCGATCCAGGGGGCACAGCATCAGCGCAGGGCTGTCAAAGGACTGGCCAATGGACTGGCGGTTGACTGGGGGGCGGCAGTGAGGAGCTCAAAGCGCAGCGTGCAGTGGTATCGGCACCAGTGATCTGTCGCGATAATATAGGCCTGAATCGTCCCCGCGAACGGTCCGCCAATCAGTGCACGCCGCAGTACATATTCCACTGCACTAATAGGCTGTGCACTGCCAGCTAGAAGCACAGCGAACATCGCGATCGCTCGCCTGCCCCTCTGCACGACATGCACAACATGTGTTTCGCACACATACCAGTGGATTTTGAAAAACTGCCTACGGCTTCTCACCATATCCAAGACGTTGACGTGTGTGTAGTTGCCAGTCGGCGCATCTGCATCGAGACACAATGTCCTCCGCACAAGAGAACACTGAGGATGTACTCACCCGAGGTGCAGTGGCGATGCGAGCGTCAATAGACACTCTACGTCGCGCAAACGATTGCGCCTGTACTGACCTCCTCTCGATTGCGGTATAAAGCACAGAACCGTACCCGACCAGATGTGCGGACCTTGTCCAAGAGCAAGCGCAAGCACAACAGGTTGTGACTCCGAACAACGCGGCCGCTGTGCATGAAACACGTTGTATTGGTGCACAGTGCAGCATTCATGTCTGTACAGAGTTGTGAGGTCGCAGAGCAGGAGTATGGAAGGCATCAAAACCCTGCACGCACAGGGAATCTGTAACTAGATGTCTAGATGCACTCGTCAACACTTGACGGCTGGCGACGGTGGAGACGCTTGCGACGGCGGTGGCGGTGATAGAGACGGTGGCGACGGTGGATTTCAATGATGAATGGGGCTGTAATTAGCGAAGGTGCGTATAGTACGCTCGAAAGCCGTAAGGACAATGCACCATGAGGTTTAACCAAAGCATAGTTGACATAGCGGCGTCCATAGCATGTACAGTCAAGCAAGTAGATAGTTGCCAAAAGAGCCGTGACGAGCGCCGTGGTTCCCGCGGATGAGAAGATATGCCCTCTACTGGGCGCTATTATTCTGTAGGTTCGTCCTTCTTCTTCAGTCGCTCTGCCTCTCCAAGCTTCTCTTCTAGGCTGGGTCCCAGCCTCTCACATTGCTGTGACCGGGCTTGTTCCCGCTGAGGTGTGGGGCGACTCGTGTCGAACCCATCTTTGGGCCGGGACGTAGGCAGACTTCCGTCATGTTTAGCAGATACCCGTGCTCTCGGGTCACCTACCTCCTGCCCATGCCTCACCGAGGTTGGCACATGTGAGAGCGACACCGCTGCCAGCCCCGCTTGCTTTTTGAACGTATCGCTCTGCGCCGGTGATGGGGGCGACGTTGACAGAGGGGAACACGAGGGCGCATACAGCGAGCTCGTGCACGACATCGGCGGCGATGCGCTGCCCGACGAGATCGATGCGAACGGCGACGTCGGACGCCCGCCCCCGAGGCGCGGCGGGAGCTGCTGCCGCGAATGAGACCGACCGGGAGGGTGGGCCGGCGAACGCGAGCGCGAGATCGATGGCGAGAGAGACTGGCCGTCTGCGAAGCTCTGTATGTGTGCGCGCGGAGTCGTAGCTACGACCGTCCCGGAGGAATGTGTATGTGAGTGCCCATGCGCGTACGTCACAGTCGTCGGCGAGAGCATCGCTGCTTCGTACCGCGGAGGTGGGTTCAGCACAGCAGGCTGGGCGAGCTTCGAGCTGCGCCGTAACGAGGGAGGGAGGTGCCTGGGGGCGGACTGCCGAGGCGAGGACTGCCTTGATGACGATATCTGTGTGGGCAGATTGGACATGTGACGGGGTGAAGATGACGGCGAGGACGAGCCCGATGTCACGACAGCGATAGTATCATAGTAGTGGTGCAGATCGAAGGGTTGCTGGGGAGATATAGGCGATATGGGAGACAGGTTCACGTTGAAAGTGTATGGTACAGTGCGAGAGAGCTTCTCCTTCGGGGGTGTCGTCTCGTAAAATATGTTGCCGTTCGGGATATACGCCGAGGACGATGATTGTTGCAGGGACTGATAGTCCGCTAGGGATACATGGGGTGAGCGATTGGGTATGTAGGGGGGTATAGCCATTTGCGCAAGCCGTTGCGGAAAAGTCGAAGTCGTGCGTGCCGGGCCTGACAGCGACCGGCGAGGCGAATCGATGCGCGGGGGCGGCGTAAATCCGCGTTGGGCGTCTACGTATGCGGATGCATTGAGCTCACTGAGCTGCTGCGCCAGGCGGATCGCGGGTCGACCGCGTATTCGCGCAAGCATCCGCGGATCCATCCCGCTCTCTTGTCGGAAGGTCGAACGCGTACTGTTCGGGTCGGGGGCGTGAGGGATGGGGGAGGTGTGCGACAGCCGCAACTGCTGACGCTCGAGAGTGACCGTCGGCTCTCGGTCGTTCTCCTTCTCGCGTCGCCGGCTCGGCGCGCCCTCCTCGACGAACGACTGCACAGACCGCACGTCATCCGAGTTTGTGACATCCGACCGCGAATCGTCGTCGGTGCAAACCTCACTCGCATTAGAGGATGTCGCGTGCGGCGGACGTGGTCGCTCCGGCTGCCGAAGAGGGCTTTGAGTGGTAGCGAGCGATAGGCTCTGCCCAAGCCTGTTTTCGAACGCAGAGCGATCCTCTTCGGGCGCGGAGGAGGGAGGAGGGCTTGTCCACAGTGTTCGCTTAGGGGCCATGTGCTGGAGTTGGTCCATGCGGATGGGCAAGGTGACTGGAGGCGGCGCCTGCGGCTGCTTAAGCGGTGACGAGGACCCCAAGGACACCGTTGGTGGCGAAGACGGACTCGGTGGGTTCGTAGTCGAAGGAGACACTTGATCAGCCACAGGAAGGCGCGAGGGCCGCATGGGGCTGCTGTTGATGGTGTAAGGAACCTGTGGCGGGATGGGGGACAAACGAGGCGGTATGAATAGGCCGTTGTGGGGTGGCGGGTGTAAGAGTTCTTCCTCCTTGCGTTCCTCGCACAGTTGGGCGAGCGCGACGATGGCGCGCTCGGGTCTGAGTTGTAGAATGCGCGACGCGCGCATGAACTCACCGCGGATCTGCCAAGAATGAGTAACAGCTCCGACTTGTCATACAATTGAGAGTACTCACCGTGTAGAGGCCATCTCTAGTCACGCACCGCGCGACGTTGTAGTCGACTTCGAATGGGTCCTCTATACACAAACGATTGCGTTCCCTGGGAGACCCCTTTTCAAACTAATCACAATGAGGAATAAATAACACTCCGCTTCGCAGGACGTCCTACCTCGTTCTCCCAGCCCTTGCTGTCTTTCGACAACAGGCCGGCACGGATAGATGCGACACCATGCGTGAACTGGAATTCGCGGGAATAGAATTTGAAGAAATCGATTAGGCTGCATATCCGACTCATCAATGATGCTATTTGTGTACACCAGTCAGATGCGTCCACTCACAGTTCTGCCACACTCTCAGTATTAGAAGACTTCCAGCGTGCTCGTAGAAGCTCGATGTCATCAAAAAACCTGCATATAATCAGTCATACCGTCAGTATCCACCAAGCACGTCGCACTGACCATATAT